ATGCTGTTTCTTATATGACAGATGAATAATGCTAACATTCGCTCTAACTGAATCCCTGTCTCTTTTGGTGTATAAGAAACAAAGTATGAACGTAAGTAGCATCTACTTACTTGCTAATCATTAATTCATTCGCTCATTCAATTCACATTTATGGAGCATCTTCATACTTTGTGCCTGGTACTGAACTTACCATGGGGAATGCAAAGATGAATACTACCCAGCTCTGCCTTGAAGTGCTCACAGAATAGTAAAATACCAACAAACACATGCAAACAAGGAACTGGTATACAATGACAGAAGAGGAATTTTACACAAGAGACAATAGAAACATAAAGGTACATGAAGCATAATATTGTAATTTTGTATCTCTGCTACTAATTCTTGACCTAGATCATTTAAAAACTATATGTGGTTTCTGGAAATACTTGTGTGTTCATGCACACACTCTTCAAAAAGTAAAGGCTAATGTTCACAACAGAATGGAAAATTGGCCACAATCTATGATTCTGTGTGTCTACTGCCAAGACTAATTAGGTTATTTATGTAAGAGAGCATTCTGCCTTGATTAGTGCCATCTATTGTAATGGGTAAATAATATCTATTTGAATTGTCATAAGCCTTGATTGTTGTGGACATAAGCCTCTGTCATTAGACAGAGCTGAAACATATAAAAATAAATATATAGTGCTCAGAGTCCTAGTTTGTCCTGGAGATAAAGGGTTATCCCATTTGTCCATCAGAAATAGTGGATGGAAGTAAAACTGAAGTCTTCCAATTTGCACTTTGATAATTAACTAAAATATTAAGTGTAACAAAATGTACATTGTGGGGTTGAATTTGCTATCCATCATTTCACTGAGGCCGAGTTAGGTGGAAGGGCCCCAAAGACTAGACACCAGCACGTAAATTCTCAGTGTTGGTACCTACAGCCACATGGGCTACACCTCTTTGTTTAATGGGAGTAGGTTTTCCTGGGTATAAAGTGTCTTTTCCAAGGCAAAATCTTTCTCACTCACTTTGGGGATGAAAATCGTGTATGCGTGGGATAGCTGACAATGGTTAGGAGGCTGATCTGTGTTAACAAATCAAGAAACTGACCCCTAAGTCATTCTGTTGTAAAATGGAAATAATTTAGATTCAATGTCTCTAACAAATCTCAAGTTAGACAGAGAAAAAACACATTAGGTTGATTAATAAAATATTTAGGTAAAATTAATAACATATAGCTAGAATGATCAATTTAATTCCTGCTGGTTATCCTAAAAATTCTAAAAAGTTGTTGTTTTTAATTTGATGCGTGTAGTTTAGAAATGAGTTAGATAACATTTTGGCCCATAAACTCAATATATCTAGTCTATAAGGACAGCCAGACTGATAGATGCCACTTATGTTTTTCCTTTTGTTGTTCTTTTTTTTACTCAGTTTGCGTTTTAGAAACAGTAACAAACTTTTAACCAATCTTCATAAATAACAAAGCAACCAATTAAATGGATGATAAAGCTAAATAATCACAATCTAAACTCCCTATGCTGAACTGCAATTGTACAATATCTCACAACTCAGAACTAATTCAAAACTGTCTTCACTGGTTGAAAGAATCATTGAAGATGAGCTCACTGAATCTCATTGAAGACTGAAAAGCAGTCTTCCCCTAGGACAGTCACAAAACACTTTTGGGTGGAAACTTTCTGTCTGTCTGTCTGTCAGTCTATTTTCTTTTGGGGGGAGGGAAGAAACAAAGGCTGGAGGAAAAGATTATGAAAGAAAGAGCCTTTTAATGGAGGCTCTAAAATAAAAGTACCAATAGGTTTCATTCATTCTTCTATACTACTGAAACCAACAAATATGCACACTGGCAAGCAATGAGAACTTTTATTCAGAGTGGCTTAAACATTAAACCAAATTAGATATCAAGGTATACTCTGAGATGACAATGGTTTGACTGTATATGACTCAAGTGGTAAAGAACGGGCAAAATGGGTTATTGTACTTACAGGGTAGTATTTGTACCCACTAAACCAAGAGTAAGTATAGTTTAAGAACTCCAAACCAAAAGGACTTGCATTCTGTTGTTGCTATAACCATTCATATAGAAGTGGAAAGCGCCTTCTTAATTTCTTTTCAGTATATTTTTTTAATTGAAAAGAAACAGTTTAAATGAGCACAGGCAAAATGTCTTCACATATTTATAGTTTCTCATGGTGTACTTTTATTTTGTGAAACAAATGAAAATAAATTCCCACACAATTCCTACCCTCTTACCCGCCCACTCATCACCCCAAGGAATAAAAAGTCACTATAGGCCCCTCCTATCACTGAAAATTCTATTACAATGAATCTCCCTTCATCATCTCTGGATCAATACCATAACGTAATGTGGTTGAAATGACTGCTTTCGTCACCACTCTGGGGAGTATTAGAACACTTTCTTTTCTTATAAGGAATTAAAATTTATGTTTTGTCTTAAGAAACTACCATTTGAACCAGTCAGAAATGAGCTAACAAGTATGATCAAAGAGCTTATCTGCTCAAACATTTCTATTACTTTGTAGAATTACTGGTACTGAGATTCCCAAACCTTCCACAGACCATTTCAAAAGTTATGTGCACTACATAATGAATATATACCCTTTGTAAATAACCTCTTGAATTAACTGACTTTAGTTTTTACTTGAATTTGACCTAGAGTTCTGGAAAAATAAATTTAGCATAAAAAATCATACTTAATACATCTTAAATAAATTATAGTGTCATATTTTAAATTTGTATTTGCTGTTGTTGCTCTTCTTATCTCCCTTTCTTAGGGGAGGACTTCTAGTTGGTGGTGTTTTCATAACCAGATGCAGCTCCACACTCTCTGAAGTCATATAAGAACTGCTCTGTATCAGGTAATATCAAATAAAATCCCCAAATGACACATGTCCTCTACTTACTATCACCCTGATGAAAATGACTTTAATAATGTCTGTCTTTGATTTAAATAGGCAGTTCTATGTAAGCTTTCTCCATTATGTCTTCGGAAAATAAAGCAGCATTTCTTTCTTCCCCTTCGTTGAAGCTGCCCATTACTATACAAGGGCAAAAGCTTCTAATAAGACATATTCTAAACCAGAAACAAAGAAGATACCTAAGTAACTGTGAAATGATAATGACATTCCCCCTTATTTTTCCCAAACCATCATTTTCTAAGTCTGTTCCTCTAAAAAAGAAACTAGTTGCGAAGAGAAGGGGTGAGGAGGAGCAACACACAGAGAAAAAGGTTAAAAAATTCAAATGCAGAAACTGCTGGGTCCAACTGTTAACAAAGCATGTGCATTCAAGAGAACATTTGAAAGGTAGGCAGGGCAGTATTAACATATCCTAAGTACTGTGAACGACTAGCCTGGTCATTAATTTAATTTTCACATCCATCAGAGTAGGAGGCTACCCCCCAATTCCCACCCCCTCCAACTTTCCACTATTTGTTTCAGCATTTTAATAGACACACACTTGCCTCCTACGAGGACACAGTGTCTGGTTTAAATAGGTTTATCTCTCTCCTTAGCTTGTCCTGGAATCACGCCTAAAGCTCAGTCCTGGTAGCTTTTAGGATGAGAAATCTAATTGGAAAGTGCTGTCAGTTTAGCCACTCCAATACCTCCTTCCAACATTTAGTTTGACCTCCCAACTATCTCCAACACATCAAAGTTAAACAAACCTAGTGTATAGCTCCTTTGAATCTGCATTGTAAGCATGAATACCAAAGTGCTGCCAAATCTTGAAACCTTTCTCAGCTCCCTGAGCTGAAATGAAAAATACAGGGTCTGTCACCATCACCATCCCAATTAATCCAAAACATGGGTCTCCAAAAGGATCCCTTTCCCTTTCAACGGGCCTGTGGTGGCTTGGAGAAGCCCTCTCCAACTTCTCACGTTCTCGTTAAGGTATTAATATCAGGAAGCCCCTCACTTTCAAGGCATCCATGCCAAACTCGGAGAAACACATCAGAAGCCAGGGGGCCAGTGAGGAGAGAGGTCGGGCAGCCGGTCTCTCGCTCTCGCCAAGATCTCTGCGCTTCTGCCAGACCCTCCGGCCCTTGCGTTCTACATAGGAGAGGTTTCATTACATAATCCCTGCTCCACGGAGTCACCCACAGGGTCACGGGGGCTCGGGCTGTCCCCTATCGCACACACCACCTTTGGGGAGAGCGGCTGACTGCAGACCCTGGGAGCAGCACGCCTCCCCTCGCTGTGCGTTGCCGGCAGTCCGGACTCGCCCGGCGCAGCGACCCCGACCCAGGCTCGCTCCCCCCTTCCACGTCCACTCGCGCGCTCCGAAACCCGTCTCCGGGTCCCCCTCACACCTGTTGTCCCGACCCCTCTCGGGGGGGTCCTCCCAGCAGGCCTGCTGTCCCAAGTCCTCTCGGGGTCCCCTTCCTTCAGACCTGCTGTCCCAAACCCTCTCGGGGACTCCCCCTAAATCCTCTGTCCCGGCTCCTCTTGGGAGGTTCCCCAATCAGACCTGCTGTCCCAAGCCCTCTCGGGGTCCCCTCTCTTCAGACCCGCTGTCCCAGCCCCTCTCTGGGTCCCCTCCCTTCACACTCGCTGCCCCAAGCCCTCTCGGGATCTCCTCTCTTCAGACCCGCTGTCCCGGCCCCTCTCGAGGTCCCCTCCCTTCGTACCCTCTGTCCCAAGCCCTCTCGGGGACTCTCCGTAGACCCGCTGTCCCAAGCCCTCTCGGGGTCTTCTCCCTTCACACTCGCTGTCCCAAGCCCTCTCGGGGACTCCCCTAGAACCGCTGTCCCAAGCTCGCTGGGGGACTCTCCCTAGACCCACTGTCCCAAGCCCTCTCCAGGTTCCCGCTCAGACCCGCTATCCCGGCCCCTCTCGGGGTCTTCTTTCCCCAGTCGGGACAAACCCGCTCCCGGACTCCCGTCACTCGAGTCCTCCCCGACCTCACTCCGCCCAGGGTCCTCTTGCCTCGGCTCACTCTGTCACCGTCCCGCGCCCCGGCGCTCTCACCTCAGACCTGCTGTCACCACCCCCGGGCCCGGCGTCGCCGCCGCCGCTTCCTCTCCCACACTTGTTCCCGAGTCGCTCTTCTGCCGCTTGTCCCCCGGAGGATCCTGGGGTCGGGTCGCTGAGTGTCGGGTCCGGCCACGCGGAGCCTCCGTCCGCGGTCTCGGTGTCGGGTCCCACTCTCACGCAGGACTCCGCCGCCGTCACCGCCGGGCGCCACACGGACCCTCCCGCGGCCGCGGCTGCTGCTGTCCGAGGTGCGGCTCCTGCCAGGGGTGGCCAATCGCACCCGACTGCGCCGAGCGCGCTCCGCCCCGCGGTCTCAGTTCGCCCGCCCCCTGCCCCCGACCACGCCCCCAGCCCGGCTCCGATAGGCTCTCTACTGACCTCCCCTGACCGCGGGGCACAGGCATGGGGCCGGATATAGGTACTTGATTGGAGGTGCCTGGGGAGCCGAGCGGTCGATGGCGCCTGAGGATTGGCGGAGTTGGCGGTGGGCGGGGCGGGGAGGGGCGGGCTTTCCTCAGACGCGGAAGACCCTGCAACTTCAGTTACCCCGCGGGCCCGCCTGGGGTGCGGTCGGCGTTGTTTGTGCTGCGCTGGGTCAAAGTTCATGGCACTCCTCTGCGCCTTTACTTTTCTTGGAAGCCTCCCAGAGGCCAAGGCCCCCTGGGACTCCCGGGGACCACCGTGTGAGAGCCTTTGAGGAGGTTCCCATTCTTCCATTCTTGCTCAGCTCCCTAAGTAATGATGCCATTAGTTAATACAGCATGTATTCACTCCGGGCTTGTAAATATTTCCTGGATTTAAATTCTTTTACATCTTTGGCAAGGGAGTTGCCCTTGCATTGCGTTCGACAGACGTCAGTCTACTGCTGTTGGGAGGGAAAAATCTTTATACGAGATGTGTACTGGGAGCAAGTAAAGCATTCAACACCCCTGGGGCTCCTTTTGATAGGCCCAAGGACGAAACTTGAGAAATAATCAGTTTGTGGGTTTTGATAATCATTTTGACAGTAGGAACAGGAACTGTGTGGTAGGCTTCAGTGCGCTTAGTCAGCATATTCGTTTTTTTTTTCAGGGCCAATGTTTTAAAGATTCTGTGTGAACTGATGGCCAAAGTGCAACCTGTGACAATCAGAGACTCGTCTGCCAGGGGTAGAAGTGCATCATCGTGTTACTCAGAGCCATTCTTTATGTTTTTTGAAGCTGGATATGTTGATTAAGTCAATACCAGAAACTGAAAACTGCTCCTCTTACTCATAAACCCCAAAGTTGACAGACTTTGACAATTCAGCATTTTATGAAGAAATTGTTTCATTTTAGGCACACAATTTGATGCTAAGCCTTGTTAGATGTATACAGGACTTGGCTCTCAGAAAACTCCCCATCATTAACTCTTGTGTGAACTCCTGCTGACAGAGTTTGTGTCCTAAACGCTCTACGTGTTTTCCCTAGTGTTTTATAATGATACTCCATTCCAATGGCAGGGCTCCCCTTTAAATTTGGGTGTTAGGGTATGTGGAAATGAGGCTGGCAGGACCTCATTTGAGTTCTGAAGTAGGTGGCTCCTGAGCAGTGCTGACTGGCATTTTGGAAAGGGATGGGGAGAGATTTCAAGGTAATTCTGGGGGAACTTAATTTTTACAGGCCTAGAGAGATTATCCAAAATTATAATACATATATATATGTATACTTTTTAAGATTTTATTTATTTAGAAGGGGTAAGAAAAGGGCAGAGGGAGAGAGACTCCCAAGCAGACTCCCTGCTGAGTGCAGAGCCGAAACCAAGTCGGATACTCAATTGACTGAGCCACCCAGGAGCCCCCAAAATTATTATATTCAACAACTATAAAGGTTAGGTAAGACTAAAGTCATGACAGACCTTTTTTTGACTAGGTTCTCCTTCTCTTAAAGAGCATATATTAGTTAAGAGCTCATCCTACCAATAATGCAGTTGGGAATATGGATTGAAGAAATGGAGTTAAGTTTTCACTATCAGTGTCGGTTGTGTCTATTCATATAAAAAAAGAAAGGCATGACCATTAACAGATGTTATTTGCAATCAAGTAGAAAGAAAACATAAGTGAGATAAAAATTCATGTCTTGAAGAAACCAATGAGCAATGAAGTCAAATCTCTTTTTTTTTTTTTTGACTCATTATATCAATGTACTGTAATTTCTAAAATGTTGGTACCTTTTCTGGTCTATGATTATTACTTCTGATGGAAACCCAAGTTGCTCAATATAGCTGATTACAAATAATTTAGATGTGTTCTAAAATAAAAATAGAAATGACTTCATCCTTTGGTCAAGAGGCAGTTCTAAAATCCTAGTTTAAATACAGATGGTGGACCTACAGTGAGCCTTGAGAATGACTCTTATTTAGAAGGAGCTTCAGAAGATCTCTGAACTCATGGAAAGACATTGCAGCAGTCCATTTTGGAAATTGTTGAGGTTTGTTGGGTGGAAAAATCTCCCACAAAGAGCCAAGATTTTCATTAAGACAAGGTAGAAAATAAGAAATGTTGAAATAAATTGCGTATTTTTTTTCACTTTGAGAAGACTCTGGGGTCCCATTCAGAGAGGAGTTTGGTCACAAAGGATCAGGATACTGGGGTCCACCTGGCTTTTAGATCTGTGTTCAACCTTACTACTTAGAAGTTACTTATTCCGGGGCACCTGGGTGGCTCAGTCGGGTTAAGTGTCTGCCTTCGGCTCAGGTCATGATCCCAGTATCCTGGGATCGAGCCACGCATTGGGCTCCCTGCTCAGCAGAGAGCCTGCTTCTCCCCCTCCCTCTGCCTGTTGCCTACCTGTGCTCTCTCTCTCTCTGTCAAATAAAATCTTTTTTAAAAAGGTTATTTATTGGGGCGCCTGGGTGGCTCAGTTGTTAAGCGTCTGCCTTTGGCTCAGGTCATGATTCTAGGGTCCTGGGATCGAGCCCCGCATCAGGCTCCCTGCTCTGCAGGAAGCCTGCTTCTCCCTCTCCCACTCCCCCTGCTTGTGTTCCCTCTCTCGCTGTCTCTCTCTGTGTCAAATAAATAAAATCTTAAAAAAAAAAAAAAGTTATTCTATGGTGACTTGGATACAACATAAAGGGGGCAGGGTTACTTTGAACAAACAAACATCCTAGGCTCTTTTCCTTACCCCTTATCTCACTACCCACAACTAGACAAGGGACATCCTAAATTCGTTCATTAAGTAAAGCTTATAACACAGTGTCTCCTACTTAGAAGGAATCACATGAATTAATTCATGCAGGTATTCAGTTCTCTTGTTTTCTAAGTTTCCACATAGCACCTTCCTTATGCTAGTTTAATTAACTTCCTGCAGGCAAATGTTCCGCTTGCTCAGTTGAGAGTTGTTAGCAAGTTATTGGATGGGGAAAACACCTTTTAAAAAATTAATATTCTAAGAAATATGAGGCAGCAGTAATGTACAGCACTTGGGTGTGATCGTGTAAACAAGGCAGCCTGGACGCTACCATTTTTTAGGTAAATGTTCTTTTCTCATATGTAAAATCGGGAGAACACCTTATTGAGAACAACTGTACAAACAGAAAAGACTCCCACCGACTGGGAAAACACCCTTTTGCGGACCCCAGAATGGAATTTTCAACAGCCTTGCCTTTTAGTTCTCAATAAAGCTCCAATTAGGGGAGGAGCTAGGCTCTGGGGGATGATCACGAAAATTCGAGATGTCAGCGTTTCCCAGCCTATAAAGGGGATGGTTCATGTCGTTCACCTATGTCAACGAGAGACCACCTTCAACCCTTCTGCCTCTCTCAGGTCGCTAAGGATCCTCGCTTTAGTTCTGGCTCCTTGCGCCGCCTGGCGGCTGTTTCCAGAAGTCGCCTGCAAGCTTCGGGGTCCTAGCCGCGGCCAGGTCTGTCCAAGGATTTGCCTAATTCTAGAGAACTTGTCTCCGCCCCTCCCCACTACCCGTTGAGGATTTTAAAGACGGCATGAAAGGGCCGAGGTTAAGACGAAGGGGGCGTCCGGCGGCCTCTCCACCTCCTCAAGGATGGCGGAGTCAGGCGGGCCTCGGGCAGCTCGCGACCCGGAAGTCGCCGCCGGCGCGAGGCCCCCGTTGCCGAGAGCTGGCGCGCGGGGCGGAGCTTGGCGGAGACAGGGACGGGGTCGCCGCGACTTCCGCGGCTCCCGCTCTTCGAGTTGGCGGCTCCCTCGGGGGCTGCTAGGCGGGCGTCGAGTCCGCAGGGCGCGCGGCCGCGGTCGCTGGTTGAGACGCTCAGCCGCGGCCAGAGGCGACATGAGTGCCGCGGGACTGTTGGCTCCGGCCCCGGCCCCGGCTGGAGCACCGCCGGCACCGGAGTACTACCCCGAGGAGGACGAAGAGCTGGAGAGCGCCGAGGACGACGAGCGCAGCTGCCGGGGCCGCGAGTCCGATGAAGGTGCGTCGTCTGGCTGGCCCGGCGGCCCGGGGCGGGGGTGGGACCGAAGAGGGAGTGAGTGGGCTGCACGGAGCGGGGCGGGGCGACCTCCGGGGCTGGGGGAGGCTTGAAGGGGCCGCTGGGAGGTGCACGGCTCCAGGAAGTTACCCCCACCTGCGCTGGGCCCGGGGCCGCTGTGGGGACGTCGTACCCTAACAGTCATGGGAAGGAGGGACTTGGGGAGCTGCTGTCAGAGACGGAAGCCCCTTTAAGATTCTGTCCCTCTTCCCTCAACCGTCTCTGGTGAACCTCAGGTCTTTCCTGGTTGGAATGAGAAAGCCTTCCATTGAGTATCTTCAGTACCTCTCCCCTTCTTAGTTCCGGAGAGGATCAGGGCAAAGCCCAGTTTGGCTTCCAGGTTCCCAAGTTGCTCCCCCCGGACCCTTCACCCCGAGGAAATGCTTTAGGCAACCCTACTTTGGGTGGCGCAGTTCAGGTTGCTTAAAAGAACGGAACCTGGAATCAGCCAGATCTAGGTCTGAATTTGGCTCACTGAACCCAGCTTTGTGACCCTAGACTTACTTAAGCTTGCGAGCCTTAGTTTCCCCGGCTGTAATGGGGCTTCCGAGCGTAGGTGTGAGGATTAAATGAGATGTGCGTAAGGTACTTGGTCTGGTACTCAGTAGATGTTTTTGTAGCACTGGGGAAGCAGGCACAGGGAAGATAGGGATTTGCTTAATGGTGCCCAGGTGTTGTGTTTTCAGTTCCACGTTCTTTGCGTTATCATTACTGCCTCAAAGCCCAGTTTTTTCAAACTGGGGTTTATAGTTTGGCAAGTGTGAGGAAGACTGTTTGGAAGG